CTCCACACGTGTGGCGACGTTGCCATAACAGGGCTGAGGGTGCCGTGTCCCAGGGGCAATCTGTCAGGGAACCCCTCCTCTGTGCACGTAAATCAACAAACGCAAACTGGAGCCCTCAAAAGGTGATGAACAGCAAGCACCTCTATTACACAAGCGCTTTCCTGGATAGAATAATACTTCAAATAATAATTTCAAGTTGACCTGATTTAAAAGCTTCAGTAAAAAACTTAAAGATTCCTAAACTGGGCAACCTCCACATATGCAAAATATAGATGGTTGCTTATAGCACCAGTGTCCCAAGGGCTGGAAAACAGCCATGGCCTCACCACTTTCTTGGCATAGGTCGGTTAGCCCAGGAAACCAGGCTTCCCACCACTACCGGTGGGCATTGGGGTGCCAGGGTGCTGACTGCGGTGACAGGGCAGCAATCCCAATCCTCTCAGGCTTCCCTCAGCAGCCAGATTAATGTATTTTTAAAATTAATTTAATTAATTTAAATTATTATTCTAAAGTAAGATGTTTGTTGTTTCCTCCTTTGGTTGCATTTCAGTAGCCAAATATATTTTCCTCCCAGAGAAGAGCTGGGAATCCAGGAACCTGAAGCCAGGGGAGGCAGCAATTAGTGGTTTGAAGTGTTAATGGTACCACAGTGGGAATGGGGAGTCCCTTGAACTCAGCTATTAGCAAATTAATAAAAGGGGTAACACGCTCTCCTGAATGTTACAAATTTAGCACTAATTAGGACTTCTCTTTCTTAGCTATTTTAGGCAAGTAAATCTTCAGTATCTTTTGTTAAATTTGAATCTTCTTATTAGTAGAAGTAAATCATACGGAAACATTCATTTCTTCCCCCAGCTACAGCCTATTAAACTTTTTCCATTCTCCTTTTCTTTATGACATGGCTTATAGCTGGATATTTTATATGCAGTTTGTTTTATTTAGTAAATCTTCCCCCAAAAGAGGGTTTTCTTTGAGTGAGACTAATCTACAGGCCATTCATTTCTCACAGTCCATCCCAAACTTTTCAAAGATCCCCTCTTCACAGGAGCATCAGTGCTCCCATTTGTTTACATTAATTTATATATTGCTCATATATCCCAGATGTTAAACCTCAGAGAGTTATTGTAGCTGGAAAGCCATATTTTTCTGCCAAATATCTACACAGTTTTGTGTATTTTAGCACTTCAGAATTAATCACGAGAGAAACTTAATCAGGTTTGCAATGAAAAAAAAGCCCTTAATTAGAGCAGAGGCCAAAATGTCCTCCTGCTCTTCCTTTCTTTTTGCACTGCCCAAATCTCATCTAAACCTTGCCTGAAGTCCAGAAAACAAATCTCATAGTTGATTGAATATATCTAATTGTGAATTGATGTCTACACTTTTGCAGATATGTTTCAAACTGCCTGGTGGCTGTGTTGACTAATTTGCCTATACCCAGGAAATTAATTCTTTCTTAACTACAGAGCAAAGCTATGATGTTGGGCGATACATGTCTGCCTTTCTGGAAAGAGTATTACTTCTCTCTAGCAAAATCAGTGCATCGCTAAATGATTGACATAACCACAAAAGGTTTTAGCTTTTAATGTTTAGGAAAACACTGACGGGGAAGAGAAAGCACTACAGTTTGCATAATGAGAGTACAGCCAGTCTGGCTGAGGCAGAAGAAACTTCAATTCAACAAAAGACATAGCTTATTTGAGCAATAAAGGGAAAATGTAGATAGAAGGTTACATCTTCTGATGACACTAAGTAAAAGAGCATGTTACAAGTAATCACTAGTAAGCTCATGGTTTAAAACACACATGTACATGTGCACACATGTACAGCAGTGTGGAGAACCTAAGCAGACACCATATGAAAATACACCATAAAGACTGACAAATACTGTACACTGTCAAGGCGGCTTTCCATAAAATAATGCAAATTTATGTTAAAATCTAGACTTTATGATCAATTAGAAAGGGTAGTTTAGCAGCAGTATTAATAACCACTGAAACAAATGTAGCATGAAAAGGGGGTTTCCATGACCAGAGCACAGCTCAGAAGGCTTTGTCTCACGTCTATGAAAAATCAAATCTTTGCAAAGGTGAGACTAAAGGTATGAGCCATTTCTCTGTCTAGAAGAACTGGACGATGACTTTTCCTCGTTCACCTCTGGAGGGAAACGTGATACAGTCATTTCTGTTTACTTCTGTTAAAAGTCTGGTCAGAGAGAGTATTCTGCACAGTATGAGTCTAAAGATACTATTATTTTTACTTTTCCCTGCTGCATAAGATAGGATGTGAATGGTGTACACTGAGGTGACACCGTAACATCCTGTTTGCATTAGGGCCCTAAATGCTAACAATAGGTGAGTCCTTTCTTCCCTCCATGTGGGCTGTAACTGCAGGAATAAGATGTGTGAGCATGTAAGCTGAGCAGCAAGTAGATAAATTCTAGACGATTATTTAAAGCTGGTGAATACAAACCTTACAGTCCTGCAAGCAGTCTAGTACCAGAAAGGACCTTTGAGGTCAATTCATTTCCCTTCTGTCGTAGGCAGCCTTCTGAAAGAAACTGCATGATAAAGTGATCCAGCTCTGTCACAAAATTAATTTTTGCCGCCATTTCTCCTACTGTAATGGTGCAGGAGGAGGAATCCTACTGCAGCTCCTTGGAAATGTAGAAATCTTCCTATTCCCAGCCTCAATATACTCTTATCCAGTTTATTCACATCATTTTTTCTGCCAAAATTGTGCTTCTCCCTAAATAGCACTTCTCCCTTCTGTGTGCTTATCCGTGATGTATTTATAGGGAGTCCTCTCTCAGCATTCATTGCATGAGATAAAACAAGCTATCCTTTTTTTAGTGTCCTTTCATATAACAGACTTTCCACGATCTGGATCACCCTCGCAGCCCATTCCTTCACCTGCCCCAGTCTGAGCATGGGGACCAGAACTAGCAGCAGCAGCTATATATTGTCTTACCAGGGATTTTTACAATGCCATTAACACTCCCTTGTTTCTTACTGCTATATTGTACATTTGCACTGTCTGTACATAGAATTGTTCTAGCATATAAATTATGTTATACAGTTAACTATTAAATACTGGTGTGTCGTCTCATCTGGTACCACTTGTGCTCCTTGGGAGTGTGGTCAGCATCTTGCAAGCAAAATCCTTCGGTGCTTTTCATCTGGTGCTTTTTCATCCTTGATAGCTCCTGTGGAATATTTCAGCATGAAGATGTTTCAGCAGTCTTAACAAAAGCAAGTGAATCATTCAAAAAAAGCACAATCCATCTATCTTCTTTAGTGTCACCAATTAATAGCTGCTCAGGATGCTTTGAAATCTATAGCTGCTTAAGGGAAGAAAAATAACCAACCCTTTCCTATAGTGCTATGCTATCATTATATTTTGTGTACTCTGCCTGTGCAAGGAAGCTTTATTAAATAAATGAGGTGAGGGTGATATGCAAAGGCCTCTCATGTGAGGCTTCAAAGAAGGAGAAAAGACCAGTTATGCTAACCCAGGATAAGAAGGGAACTAAAAACCAATAGCTAGACAAGATTATTTCTTATTTTTGGAAACCATTTCTCATTCCAGAAGCCAGTGGTCAGAGCCTGGCTGATTTCAGTGGCCACGCTTTTGTTTTCTGCTGCCCCTGCAAGCAAGCAATGTTGGGGCAGCTATAGTTTCCTCCACTTGATGGAGCTGGAACAGCCTTTTACCTCTGATTTGGATTATTTTGCTGCAGACTGTGCAAAATAAGGGACCATTTTTAAAAGGGGGTAGTGTTGCTTTTGTGGGCAGCTCGGGCTGGGTCTGTGGCCTCATTCCTCAGGTCACAAGCTGCTAGAGAAAAGTCATTGCACCCTTTGGTGGAGCTGCTGCCTTGGGCTCCCTGCCAGCCAGAGCACCCTGGGTCAAATCCTGTCCTGCATTTGCCAGACATAAGAATACACTCACAGACCTGCCCACAGCTGCTGACCCCAGTGTGGGGTTTCCCCTCTTGCCCCCACCCCTCCCTCCCAGCTCATGTCCCTGTCTAAGACATTGTGGCCACTGATGGCATTTGCCATTGGACATACAGCTCTGCCTGTGCCCTGAGCAGGACGCCAATGCCACCTCTTGAGGGGGATCAGTTCACTTCCAGCTAATCTGCCGGAGGGGGAGGTCTGTGCCTAAGTGTAATGGAACCTGATGGAGGCTAATTAAATAGAAAACCATCCATTTGTGCTGTCTCATTAGGGATTTGTCATATAAACCTTATGTTCTCTTACAAGCCTAAACAAGTGTGTTCACCATGTAAAAATCAGCCATAAAGCTGTTTGGAGAGTAGTTAATATCTCTAAGCTGCCATTTATACAGGCTGTCTGCAGCCTGGATCCTGCAGGTAGGAATGGCCTTACCACTGGCCTCAAACCACCCCGCGTAAATGGGGCATCCCTCCTTCGAAATGGGAAAGAGGGCCAAGCCCAGCGATCCTGCACCGACAGTCATGTGGAGCGGATGCTTCTCCGTCTGGCCCTGACAGGAGCCAGAAATCAGAGGCAAAGAGCACATGTTATTTTAGAGCTGTGCCAAAGATGTACAGAGGTTTAGAAAGTGTAAATTTAATAGCAGTGTTTCTTGGGGTCTGTGGAGATTGCCTCCCCTCAGCCTTTGCGATTGGCTTGGTTTCCTCCTCTACCCCAGTCAGGCTACTATTTTTGAGGAAAACTAAATTCTCTGTAGGGCACGGGAGTTGTCATGCTATTTTGCAATGGAAGAAAGTTATGGGCTATGTCCCTTTGGCTGCCCCAAGGGAAAATCAACATGGTCTAAATGGCTGCTTTCCTCAATGTCCATCCAGGATTTGCTTTTTCCTCATCCAAACTGCAGGCTTCAGAGTTTCTGCCAAAACTAGGGCTTGTGCAGAAATCACGCTGGGGCAGATCTTCCCATGTGCAGAAGGATACAACTGCTTTCTGTCTATGGGACGACCCCCTGGGGTAACACCAGCTGGTGTCTCCTTGCAGGCGTCGGAGGTGGAGCGGCAGCTCTCCCTGCAGGTCCACACCCTCCGGGAGGACTTTCGGGAGAAAAATTCCTCCAGCAGCCAACACATCGTGCGGCTTGAGAGCCTCCAGGCCGAGGTGAGTCACCCATGCTCAACCTTGCTCCTGCAAAAGGTGGCCAGGACTGTTTTAATTTCTATAATGATCCCTTCTGAAATGAGTAAACAAAATCTGCTGCTTGGAGCAAACAAAGAGAAAGATGGTAAGTGTGGGGCTGAGCACTCCCCCAAGTGAGGATTTTTGCTGCAACCCAGAGCTGGCTGGGGTGGCAAGGTCAGCTTTCACCACTGCCTTGGCCACAAGCACAGCTGCAAAATGAACAGATGAGAAGGAACTTCCAGGAGCTAAACCATGGCTGTGCTCTTGAGGGGCTGCTGCCCAGTACAGATTAAACTCTGGGGCATGGTGGGAAGGGCTGCAAGGGTTTTTTTTCAGTTTCTCATGCTTGCAAAGAAAGCAGCAATCCTCTCCCGCCTCTGAGCCATGCACATGAGAAAGCAAGGAGTCCCTGCTTGTTGTAAATCTGGTACATTAGCATGAATGATATTACACTCCTTTCTCTTCCCTTCCCTGATGGGGGTCACTGGAGACAACACAGGCAGGAACCAGAGGGGTAGATGATGTCCAGTTCTACTACCCTATCGCTTTTTTGAATTTATAAGCTGTCTGGAAGAGCTTTTCCTAAAATGTCTCAATTTCTTCTTTTCTCCTGCTCCTACCTGCTCCCTGCTGGTCCCTCGCCTTTTCTTCCCCTCCCCTTGGTGTGGAGCAGCAGGTCCTTGAAGTAAGTATGGAGGCTCGGAAAGGGTTTGCCCGCGCATGCATTGCTGCCACCATGCATGCCTGCCACTGTGCATGCCTCACCTTGCCTTCTCGCCTCCTTCCTGTCTCTTGCTTTCCAAATCCCTTTCCCCCTGTGCCCTTCCCATGGTCCAGGGCCTACAGCAAAGCAATGTTTTTTCTGTTACACTGTCATTCACAGGGTGTTCGTTACTAGTTTGGATACCAAAGAAGAACTCTTGATACAATCTCTGTATTATACCGCTTATTTTTTCTCGCATCCCTTTTCTCCAACCCACGCAAATCATGATGGTGGTGGGAAGAGACATCTCAGAAACCATTAGTCACCTAAGAGCAGCTTTCTAATACCTACAGCAGCCTTTACCCTACAGAAATAGCAAGTTCACACGCTGCTAATATTCCTTCATGCAGCCAATCCTTCCAGCAATCTGGAAAGCAGCAAAGAGACAAGGTCCCAAAGAGGCCAAGAAAGCAGTGGCAAGTTGTTGAATTTGTCTATGGTCTGTGAATTGAAAGGAGGCCATAGGGAATATTTAGGGTTATACTGGACTGCTAAACAGCATACCCACTTCCCAGAGGTCCTATATGTACTGATCTGGGAAAAGGCTCCTTTTTTTTTTTTTTTTTTTTGGTTAAACGAGAAGTGACCTTGGCTAGTGCTGATTCATCCTGTGCACTGTTCCCAGCTAACTGAATCACAGAGGTTTTGCTTGGCACATTGTCCCTCTTCACCTGAAATCCCTGCCTTTGTCAATTAAAAGAAATGAACCAATTTTAAACGCGACTGATCACTGGGAGACTAAAAATAAGTATGGCATAGAAAGGAGTCTTCACAAGTGAAAAGACAGAAAAATCCCTGGTGAGGCCCTGGTGAACATGCAGCAATTAAGAAAAGCGTACGGGGAGTGCTGTGGCACAGCCCTGAGGGAAGCAGGATCCCGCAGGCTCACCCTGTGGTCTCCACCAGCCATACAGGAGAAAATGCCACCATGCTCAGTCAGGGACCAGCCAGGAAGAATGACTAGTTTTGCTCAGTTTTGGCAGATTTTAAAGTACAAGGGGTGGGCAGGGCTGGTCTCCGCTTAATCTGTTTGGACAGTTCTGCCTGCTCCCTGGCCTCCTGCCAATGCACACCCAGCCCCTTTGGAGCTGCCCCTGCAGACTAGGGAAGGAGGAATTTCCTTTGAGAGCCTCCCTAAGCTTTAAACCACACACAGAGACAGAGTTTCTTTCATACAGGTACATAATATGTGCATACTTTTGCTTTTTGCTGTTTCATTTCTCTCTTGGGAGTGTGATTTCCCTCCTCTCTGCTCCCTGGAAAGTGCAGGATCTGACGCTGCCTCTCTTTCCTCCGCAGATCAAAATGCTGACGGACAGAAAGCGAGAGCTGGAACATCGCCTTAGTGCCATGATGGAGGAGAACGACCTGCTCCAGGGAACTGTGGAGGAGTTGCAGGACCGAGTCCTCATCCTGGAGAGACAAAGCCATGACAAGGACCTGCAGGTGAGAAGGCAGGGAAGAGGGGGGAAATGGAGTAAAAGACATGCTTTGGGGTAAAATTGACTGGGAAGATAATCAGGAACTGGGATACAAAACAACTGGAAGAATAAAATGGCTCTGTAAGCATGGCAGCAAGCAAGGTCCTGGGTGTTCTCCATAGGGACAGATAACAGAAGCTGCAATGGGGCATCTTGACAGCAAAGAACAACTTGGGAGGGAGATCTGAGCAAGGGAGTGGGACAGGGTGCTAAGGAAATGAGGTAAATGTAAAAAGAAGGAGAGAACTCTGGTTACAGTTCATTTTACCTAATTTTTTAATAGTAGAATTGGCTTCAGAAGGGGCTTCTTTAGATCCAGTTGTCCCAGAGGGCAGTAACTGGCCTCATAGCCCTCACTACTCAGATGGTTTCTCGACAAGCCCCATGGTGTTCACAGCTGTATGTCACCAAATGTCACTCCCCGAAGAACAAGCTGGCACCTCTGTGGCTTCAGGCATCTTAGTAGAGAGCAAGATTTTTCCATTTCTCTTCTGTGAATTGACAACCACTGGATCCCCAGCTCTCCAAGACAGCCCTGAATCTCCCTGCCCCCCCCCCCCTTTTATATATGTGTGTAGATCTTTTAAAAATATGTCTTTATTACTTTTCTTTTTGGATTCACTTCCTGCTGTGTTGTTTTCAGCAAATGTTTTTACCTGAGTTCCAACTTCTTCACAATATTCCTCATTTTAGTGCTGATTAACCTGCTATTTTTATCTTTCAGGATATTCTGGAGTCTAAACAGTGTCTAATGACATTTAGAGATTATTAAGCTCCAATAAATAGCAATACCAGCCAAGAGTACTTTCCTGCTGGCTGGAAATCCTCTTTCATGACACCCATTCCTCCCTCTCAGTTCCTTCACAAACCAGGAGATTCATCCAGTTCATATCACCTCCACTAATATTTTTTTTTCTGGCTTCCTTGACAAATTCCTTGATTTTCTTTGCAAGCTGCACCAAAGCCAGCTGGAGCTCCAGGAGGTGCGGCTGTCCTACCGGCAACTGCAGGGGAAGGTAGAAGAGCTCAGTGAGGAGAGAAGTCTCCAAAATTTGAACACAACCAGCACGTCCCTGCTATCTGAGATAGAGCAGAGCATGGAGGCAGAGGAACTGGAACAAGAACGAGAACAGGTATTTGCCCTCCAGCCCCTGGACCTCTGTGACAAGCCCCAGAGGGAGAGGGAATTTAGTGCATTTGATCTGAATTTGGAGCAGAACCAAGAGCTAGAAAATTGGGGTTGTGGTCTCAACTCTGGTATCAACACTCTTTTGACCATATAAAAGTAAACCTCTGCATCCATTTCAAAACCAACAGAGCAAGCTAGACAAATATTTGTGAGGTTTGGCAATCACATGCCTCACTTCACCTGGAAGGAGAATCTCCATGGCCTTGATGTCCCAGACTAATGTCAGTCTCTCTTGTTCCAGCTGAGGCTACAGCTCTGGGAAGCATATTGCCAAGTGCGATATCTCTGCTCCCATCTCAGAGGAAACGACAGTGCAGACTCAGCAGTCTCTACGGACTCCTCCATGGATGAGTCTTCAGAAACCTCATCAGCCAAAGATGTCCCAGCCGGCAGCCTACGGGCAGCTCTCAGTGAGCTGAAAAGACTGATACAAAATGTGCTGGATGGGGCAGACTCCACGGTAAGTTGGTGGCATGGAGAAGCCTTGGCTTGTGGATATCCCCTTGCCCAGGTGACAGAGCTTGCTGCAGGTTTCCGCTGGATCCTGAAGTCCTTGGTCTGTGAGAAAACCTCTTTGGCTCACAGAGATGGGCTGTCGCAATGCACAGCTTGCTCCATGTGTTTCAAATGGTCAGCCAAGATCCAAGCCAGTACGTGGGGTTTCAGCCTGCAGTGGTCAGACGACCATAAGTTTCAAGCTCAAGCAACCATCATTGGTCTGAGAGTCATTATACATCACAGTTCAGTTCTCTCTCTTAGGATTTTCCTAACCTTGCTTTATTAGCAATAGTATCACAAAAACATCATAACCCCTATGTGGGTAGATTCTGTCCCTGCCAATTGTCACTCGGTACGAACGTCTTGGCAAGAGCTGCCAGACTCGAGTCCATTGACAGGTGGAGGGTTTTGCTGACACAAGATGGTGTCTGTGGGGTATGGTCCCAGGGCTGCTGCGGAGCAGGGGACGGTGTGGAGGACCACTCAGCGTTCACAGGAGTGCAGAACTACAAGAAAACACATTTTTTGCAATGGCTGAAATCAGGCCTATTTCCATCACCCATGAGCTGGTTGCATTGCCAGTATGACTTATTTATTTGAGACGCCATGGTGAGGAAGATGATGCAGACCCTGCAACTACAGACCCACACAGGAATACTCACCTTCCTCGTTTCAGTACCTGTAGCAGCTAGTAAGAAGGTTGAGCACAGAGATGAAGTCATATTTGTTAAATAAAAAAATAGACATTTCTGTAAAAGGACTACAAACACAGAAACTATAACCATGTTTTACCAAGTGGTCACTAGATCTCTGTAAATATGGTTTATGCTAAGGTGAGAACATGTCTGCATGCTCTTGTTATCATGTGTAGAAGCACTACCCTTGGCTAAGCATGTTTCCACTGTGGAGGTAGACAGGAACAAAACCGAAACTCTGCCAAATTCACATTCACACTTTGTTCTTCTTTCTTGAGTACCCCCATCCCAAACCAGTATAAAATTAATGCAATTACCTTTTAAAAGTGAAATCTGAGCAAGAGATTTTTCTTCCACTCTCAGAGCTCTCGACGAAGCGACGATGACACCTTAGAGGAACAGATCAGGCGAACAAGTGAGGATTCACGAGCCCTGAGGGAATTAATGGAGGGAGAACGGGGGAAACTGAGGCAGAGTTTGGAGGAGCTGCAGCGACTGCACAGCCAGGTTAGCAATTCCCACACTTTACATGTGGTCTTGTAACACCGGTGTTCGTCCTCCAAAACATGCCTTCCGCAGAAGAGATCAACATGATAAATAACCCAGGAGGATTTGCACCACACCCAGCTACGGTTGGATGAGGGAGACCTTGTTAAACCCAGTGCGGAGGCTTCATGCATTTAGGGTCTGAGTTTTTGAGAAGTTGCCAGACATCATCTCAAGCAGCCAAACTTCCTTTAAACCTTTCCCCCAATCTGGTTTTCAGCCCACATGTATGTCTTGCTTTAATTCTTCTCAGCAGAAGACCCCAAAGTACAAGGCTGCTTGATACGAGGTACTGGAAACCCATAGGTATCCACTCTGCCCCATCTTGCTTGCACTAAGCCCTCGTAAAGGGTATGTGCAACCACTGGATGGACAAAACATCAGGTGCTGCTCTGCTGTGCATGGCACAAGGTTTGTCCCCTTCCACAGCAGCATCACAAAACCCTCATAAATGCACACCTAGAAAATCTTATCACAGCCAACCTGGCACCAGGCAGCACCCCAGGACTGGCTAAGACAATCTCAACAGCAATGAATGATCCAACCCCAAAACCAACACCACATCCAAAGCACAGAATCACACTGCATCCACGCTGAACGTAGCATTGTCTGTGTCTGAGGTACTATGCCAAAAGCAGCAAATGGAGACAGGTGCTCAAGGGGATGCTCTGCAATCCCTGTCTCTATGGGACAAGTCTCCAAACACTGGAGGGGATTTGGAGGCTACAGCAGAAGCAGCCTTTAGCACAGCTGCTTGTGCAGCACCAACTGCATTGAAGCAGGGAATGGGATTAACACCCTTGGCTGGTCTTGCCAGCAGTGCTGTATTGCACTTTCACCATAGCCCTTTGGAGAAACACATCCTTGTTCAGAAACTCAGCACAACCTGGGGTCTGACAGCCTTGCGTAGGGCTATGGGAGCTCCCACCATGGACCTGAAGAAAAAAAAAAAAAGACAGCATCATTAAATACCCCTGGCAGTGATAGCTGTATGTGTACGAGGGTGGGAAATGAACTTGCTGACAAAGTAGCTGATCAGAGGCAGACCGCAGCGAGGGAGCACCCCTGGCACCTGTCCTTCCCCAAGGATTGCTCCTCTCAGCAATGTGGCCACCACAAGAGACACCTTCAAGAGTCCAAACTTCTGCCCTCAGTGAGACATGAGCCCAGACACTCCTCTGGCCGTGCTGACAGAGACCATTAGAGGCTTCTTCACAGATTTTAAGTGATCATCCATACACCAGCCTGCTTGTCTGGATGCAGCACCTCCTTACAACTGCTCCTGGGCACAAGAGGCCTTGACAGGATGCCAGGAGGGAGCAGCAGTTGGTTGTTCTTTGCTGTGGCTTGTTTCCCCAAACTCCCAAGCCAGGAAGGACCAGAGGACTCACCCTGGATTGCAAGTTTGGAACCCCATCTCTGCTTTTAGGCATCCCTGACTACCAAAGCTCTGAATAGTTAGCGAGCAAAGGGAAGACTGCAGTTCTAGTTTCTTCTCACACTTCTGTCTTATATGGAGAAAGATGGGGCATTACTACAAATGCAGCAGACGTAGCTCTTGGAAAAGCACTCCAGCCTCACACAGCAAGTACACATCTCCCACAGCTTTTCCCCATAAACCAGCCTCACACTTGCTCAAGGTTAATAATTATTCTCATCTCCCATAGAAGATGCAACATTGTCTTCAGTTCAGCACTAAAGAAAATCAATGCACATGCAAGTCTGGTCCACCCCGGGCAGCAGTGCTTTGCCACCTCCACATCCCTCTATGCTGTCACTGACATTGATACAAAGAAAGGGGAACTCTTCCTAAACAATTTTTGGGACCTCGTAGCACCACACATATTCATTGCTCCTGCCTGAGAGCAAGGTGAGCTGGTGGAGACAGGAATCGCCCTGGACATTGTCTACACTGGAAAGCGGTTTCACACCTTCTGCCTGGTCCATTTCCTCCTACTGTGGCATCGCATTCTTACCTGAAACGCAGACAAAAACAGTTAAAACCCCAAAACTATTGCCAAATGCAGTTTTTTGAGCCTCTTGATCCACTGTCCTCTGGGACTTCAGCAGAAGCACTCCACACCTTTCACATAGCTCCCACCCCTACTCTCACGTCATTGCTCTGAGGTGCATCCCGTGCTGGGCTGTGGGAGGGCATGGCTCAGGCAGAGCTCCCCGATTCCCTGGCAGCCCCAGCACACAGCAGGGAGCCCCTGCACACAGACAGGGCGCGTTCGCACCCTCCTCTCCCCCAACCCAGCCATGCCGTGCTAACAGCAGATCCTCCCACGCCGTTGATGTGATGAGCCCTTTTTGACTGTCTGCCCTCTATTTAAAGATTTCTTTGAGGATTCAAGCACTACTGAGCTGCATTTAGAGAAAGGAGGTGGGTCAAACACTGGAAGGGTTTCCAGGTGGTGGAATAGCATAACAGAGCATGTGTGTGCCCTAGACAAAGAAATTAAACGTGTATGAAATATTGCAAAGCTGTGCTAATGCAATCCTTGCATGATTTCACACCCTATTAACTCACTCTGCACAGGACCAAAATGATATATCATTTCTCAGACTATTTAAGACTCTGCACATTTTTTAAAGTCTAATTAAAATTGTAAGATATGCCAGTAACACCTTCCATAGCGTGAAAGGGAATTTTCACATCCTTTGTCTTCAGCTTCATACTACTTAAAGAGACGCTCCCCTAAAAAAATCTTACTTGCCGCTAAATGATGTTTGCAATAATTTAACCCTGAAAAGATCAGCATACAACAGGAAGATTCAGAGAATGCATGCACAAGACAAACCACTTGGAGAGGAGCAATATTTCAGCACTAATGCCATAGTTGGTTTAAAGCCATTGGGACAGCAAAATTGCAGGTGGATCCTGCCCCACACAGCTTTCAGTGCCACTGCTGCACGTTACTGAGGCTGTCCTGGTGACTCATTTTGCTCAAACCAGCACTGTCAGCATCCCAAGGTGAACTGGCACATTTCATGGGGGAGGTTGCACCAGCACTAACAGCCCCCTCCCAGCAGACACAGCTTCTCCTACAAGCAGAGGAGGTCAGCCTCCAGGTTGGACCATGTGGCTTTTTTTCACCCCAAATTTGTCTGAGCAACCCTGGGTTTCATGCCTTCTCTCTGCCCACAGGTCACACTGCTGAGCGTGGAAATGACGACACTGAAGGAGGAACGGGACCGGCTGCGAGGAGCTGCCGAAGACAAGGAGATAAGTGAACGGCTCCTGCAGGCCATCAGGGACCGAGATGAGGCCATTGCCAAGTAAGTGGTATGAACAGCCAAAGCCAGGCTGGGTTAGCAGTTATGGAGTGCCTTAGCAGGAGATGCCTCCAGGGTGGGTTTTTCCCACCCTTCATGAATTTCAGTAGCTGTTACAAAGCTATGGAGTGAATCTTGGCTTTGCTGGCATTGGGAGATGCTGCCAGGAGCTTCAGAGCAGGGCAGGAGATGCTGATTTCCAGAGATGCCCCATGGCAGGATTGGAGCATTTAGGAGGATGCTATGAACCATGTTTTTGCCATCCCTAGTGCTGGTCTGAGTCACAGCAATGAGGAGAGGATTTCAGGAAACCAAATGGAAACACTAGGTCTACCTTATCTGTCATATTTTCCTTCTTTGGCTCTTCCACACACAGAATCCTGCTTTCCTGCCCATCCCCATTACAGCCCTGCCTGGGCTTCTTCCCTGAATCATTTCTCTGGTCACTCACTTTCCTTTCCTGTTCCAGAGTCTTTTTTGCATCTCCAGTTCTGTAATTCTCTATTTCTCCTGTCAGGATTCTCCCACTGTTTTGACTATTTTCCCCATCCTCCTTGCAGACCTGTGCAGTTTTGCTACCCCTGCCCCAAGCACTCTTTGCCCCAAGGAGAGGGGCAGAAACATTCACACCCCCCATGCTCTAGGAAGAAAGGATACATCTGATAATCTCTTCAATAAGCAGATGGGCCAGAACACCACAAGTCCACCTCCTTATGGAAATGCTTAATACTGAAGCCCTCAGCAAGAGAGAAGAGCATTGCACCTCTGAGGATGTGGGGAGCTAAATCAGCATGCACAGTCCCTTCATCTTTTTTAAGTGACCCAATCATCCGTGCTGCTCTTGCCCGGGTAGCCAGCTACCAAATTCCCATCGCTGTCCTCTGTAACACCTCCATCTGTTGGCAGAAATCAGGAGCATCCCAGCTGCACTGCCGGGTGCAAGAGAGGTGGTTCTGACATTTCCAGTGCGTGTGGGTTGCTGGTTCTGCTGTGGCTATGGCAACACGCTGCTGCCGCGATAAATCCCTTGGTAATATCCGAGCAGCAATGGGGAGCTTCACAACAAAAGGCTATTTAAGGTCCTCAGACCCACAGCCAGGAGTGGAAGGGTACAGCTTCTCCACAGCGGTTAATGACCCTGCTGGGACAAAGCACTAATATTTACGGCTGACTGTCCTGCAGCAGCAGGAGCCCAGAGAAAGGGGGACGTGACAAGTGTGCATGGGTGAGTGGCGGCTGATTAACGAGCAGAAAGTGGTTACAAGTGAAAGCAGACAAGAGCATCTTGTTGCTAGAAATGAAAGCATCCCTCCACAGACCGAGCAGGCTGCTCCCAGGCAGTGAGCCTCCTGGGAGGCTCATGATATGCTTCCCACGTTGCACCTCAAGGGTTAAGCCACTTTTGTTGAAGTCCTCCCAAAAAAACCCCCTAACTCTGAACAGAAATAAAATCACTGCCTGAGGCAGACATCTGGCATGGAAAATTTTTAGCTTGAAGCTGAAGTTTAGCAACACGGGAAGCAATAAGAAAATAGGATCCTGTAATAGGAGGTGTTAAGCAACCACTACCTGGAATATAAACACAAATTCCCAAATTGCTCTTCTGCAGGGGAGCACAAGGGAGCTATTAGGAGGTGATGAATTAGCTGCAGTTAATAAGATGCAATTATTTCTCCCGAAAATGTTTGCAAGGAAAGATGTTTCCCAGCAAGTCATGTTACAGTTTCCCATCACACAGCAGTTAATTGAAAATTTAAGTTTTGTGCTCACCTGTGTGCTTCCAGCACTGTGAGCGGCATTTCCCAGCTTGGGCAGCTTAGGAGATTGCTCCTTCCTAGAGGACAATTCCTTTCTACTAGCCAGTAGCAGCTGGAACAGCTCAGCCACTGAGCACTCGGGGCCTTTTAGGCAACCTTGGCCATGGCATAATATGCCTGGTGGCCACCAAATGCCCAGAAAGAAATGCAGCAGTGGTTTTCCCAAGGGCCAGCACAACCCCATTGAAATTAGGAGCTTTCCTTAAAGCATAACATTTAATTCAAACAATTTTAACAGCTTGTCATTCCTAAAAAGCATATGCTGTGATAAACTTTCTTCCTTCATTTCTGCCTTCCTTCAGTCCAAGTCCAAACAGAAAACAGAGTTGTACTCCTTGAGATTTTTTTTGTTTGGTTTATATTGCAACTTATTGATCAGGTGATCAGACACAAATCATTTGGTTTTTAGCACATACCATTCCTTTTCTATGCATTAGTAAACAGAAGAAATGGAAAAAATATTTATATGTGGATTCTACCTCGGTTTAGATCTCCATTTTTAATGGCAGATCCTGCACATTATCCAGGCATACTATATTATCTTACACAGCAGTGCATCTGAATATCTTTTTGTATCCTTCATAGTGTGCTTACCATAAATCTGCTGTTTTTATAGTAATGATGTCTACAGTTCTGTCCCACTCTTCAGATGAATAGATTGTCCAGAATACAACAGAGATGAACAGCTTAGGATTTGGGGACTTGCCAATGAAAGAAATTGTTGACTTCTCAAGGATGCATTTAACACTTCCTTTAAAATAAAAAAAGAAAAAGTCACATGCCCCAATTTCTCGCTCTCACCCCCAGGAAGAACGCAGTGGAGGTGGAGCTAGCCAAGTGCAAGATCGACATGATGTCCCTCAACAGCCAGCTGCTGGACGCCATCCAGCAGAAGGTGAACCTCTCGCAGCAGCTGGAGGCCTGGCAGGTGAGCAGCCCCCGGTCACCACAGGGCAGGGTCTGGGTGGCACACAGCCCAGGAGGCACCTTTGGGTGATTTTTCCCTCCTCCCTGTGGGTTTGCTGCATTCTCAGCCCAAGTGCCCACACACAGGAGTGTTTGCTTTTGGCTCTGCAGGAGCCAGTGATGCAGTGGTGCTCAGGGGGTTGAAACACAGCTCTCCCCTGCTCAAAGCCTTTCAGCTGTGAGCTGTTAATTAAGCATACAGGAATACCCATTTAAAATGGAGAAACAAACTGTATCTCGTGGCTGCATGCAGCATGGGTAACATACACTTTGCAGAGTAACCTGCTGTGGATTGGGGAGGGAAGGTGTCCATGCAGATGTCCCTGGGCAGGCACAGCCTTGGGGACCCATGGGCACAGCACATCCTTGCATTTCCATAATGGAGCAGAAAAGCGGGAGCCGGGGAGGTTGTGACAATTGTTTTGCTGTATAGCTGCACTGTTTTCATCAGCTCAGAAGATCTGGCAAGATGGAGAAGCTAAAATCCCAGCTCTCCACCCAGGTAAAAAAAACCCAAATCCATGGCAATTCAGCAGGTGCCCTGAAGATACTCAACTTGGGGTCAGTGGGGAAAAACCCATGTAAAGGCAGAGAGCCCTCAAAAGCAGACAAAGCTGTCTCCTCCCAGAAACTAGCACTGCGGGAGGGCTACTTTAGTAGAAAACAAGCAGATACAAGAGAAAAGGTCTGGGCCAGTTATACTAATTTGTTGCAGACCATGCAAGACCCCAACTCTACTAACAACCGGCCTGACCGATAGAAACCTCTCCTGTACAACCTCATTCCTGTTTCAACTCCACTGTGTTTTCGTTTCTCTTTTTTTTTTTCCTTTTCTTTTCTTTCTCCTGCTTACAGTTTGCTTCCTCAGGGCTTTTTACTATCTGGCTCCTTTGGTTTCTGATCTAGTGGCCTTTCTCAGTTCCTGTACCAACAGCTTTAGTCGTACACCCCTCCTGCCTTTGAGGTGAGCTCCCCACACCCTCGCCAAGCATCCACCATCCCCTCGCCTGCTCCATTCGCTGCCACCGTCACCTGCATCCATCTCTTTCCTCACTGTCATCTGGCAAGAGAGGCCAGTGGGGGATCTCCATAACACACCAATATTCTGCACACACGCACTCCCACCCCAGCACCAGGCCAGGTCACAAGGACCAGCATCCTACACCCCATGGTGAGGCTTTACCCCCCAGGTCACCACAGGGAAAGCCAGGCTGAGGCGCACACATCACTAAATCATCTCCATTTGGCATATCTCGTATCTAGAAAACTTTTTGAAATACAGACTTGATCTTACTTCTCAGCCTCGTTATCTAGTAAAGTGACATTGAGTGCTCTGCATAGGAGCTGTCTGTATCTAAGTTCTGCTTCAGTTTGGACAGGTGGTATAAATTGAGACCTACTTACTAGTACAGCCAGTATTTAGTGCTTGAATATCCCTAGTTTAGGGTTTTAACAACAGGCGTTTGCTTTCTCACTTCACGCTATGTTTCCCGATTGCACCAATACAGCAACCCCAATCCTGCTCCCATCAGCTCTGTGAGATGAGGTTCAGGCCCACTAGCACTGCAGAAAGTTATCTCCAACATACTGACCTAAAGCATACCTACACCGTAGCAAAATAGTTTCCGAGAACCTGATATCCCCAGGGCAGAAGCTTAACCACAGAGGCACAAAACAAGTCAGATGATTTACATATTTTGGGGACTATTTTGCAAAGCTGAATGCTTCTGATAAAATGGGGTGAGATTCTCTGCTTTGGCTGGGCATAAATGGAGGCTTTAATCTGAACAAATTTTACTTTTGCACACTTGTAGTGTGCACTTTACCAAGGACCAGCAACAAGATGACAGTTTTCTGTAAGCACATAGTCATACAGGCTATAAAATACACCGCAAGCAAAATTCCACACATCTGAGCCTAGCACAGGAGTGGATGTGTACCTTGCCCCCCAGGCCTAATCTGACCCCCACTGAGATTCATCATCATCTGACGAGGAGCAGGAGGAGCATTACTGGGGTAGGGAAGGAATACAGAACAAACTTGGAAGAGGGCTGCTTCTCTGACATGAGAGCTCAGTGGCTTCAGTGCGATAGCAACAGAGGCACCTTTAGGTTAGAAAATGCTGCAATGCCAGCAGAGAGCTGCAGTCTGCATGGCCACAGCCACTGAGGTCTCCTCGAGGAGCTTCAACCCTTACCTCATGCAAGGGAGCCCAGCTCCAGCTCACCAAAAGGATACATGCCATTTACATCTCCTTCAGCCTCACCCCTTTTGCAAACAGCAGAAACTCCTGCTTGGAACGTCCAAGAGCACATCAAGACCATGTTCCAGCTTTATGGGACTGCTTTATCAGATGGGTCTCACACTGCTGGTGTTCGTCCTCCCTCTGCATCCCTGGACACTCCTGCGCCCCTGCCCAGTGCCAAGGCAGGGACCGCAGCTCTGCTCCAGCCTTGCTGCGTACATCTGCCCCGATCTCCACAGCCAAGTGCTGTGCTCTCTGATTTGCATATCAAACAGACACGGACCTGAACACAGTGCACTCTCAATAGTCCAAACTGTATTTTTATGCATATACATAATTTTTTTTTGTGTGTGTGTATATATATATAAAAATCATACTTTTCCCTTGTTATGTGGTTAGCCATGGACACAGATCTGCCATGCTGGAGCTTGGGTGCCTACATCATTTGCTAGAACAGGTGCCTTCAGAAACCAAGTGCTGTACATTTTCACGTGGCAACTTTACCTCTGGAAACCTGTTTCACCTTAGTGCTGATGTTTACCTTAACCTCTTCAGCTGTCCCTCTGCCCTTCCCCTTTCCAGCCCTGCTCTAAAAAGATCCAAAGCTTTCCCAGTCCACGTAGCTCTGCACCCTCCTGCTCCCCTAGGGAAACTCCCCGTAGTAAATTCAGGCCCAGGCCACGGCTATCAATCCTTTTCCCTGCAGAAAATGCTGCAACAGGAGATTAGCCATCATTCAAGTTTCCAGTCCAAGTTGGCTGGTTTAATTCCACATCGAGCTACAGAGCAGCCGGGGCACCTGCTGAGCAATGGCAGCACCTTCCCTTCCGTCCGAGTGCTGCCCTGGCCAAAGTGCCAAACAAACAGCACTTCCACCACTACAGCCCATCCAGGGTATCCTTGTTCTCACCAGATAGTGCCCTCAGTCCTAACTGGGGACCAAACTGCTGGAGAACAGTTGATTTCTCCTGTGGGGCTAGATGTGTACACACGTTTTCACTAAGCTACAGTTTAAATATGCTATTATAGCAGAAATAATGGATCTGAAGGTTTAAAATTTGTAGAATTGATAGCCAGGTTTTCAAGGAACACATTAGCATGTCATTAGCAGCAACAGAACTGACTAATTATTTTGTGTAGAGCAATTTTACTGTGCTGCAAACACAGATTAAACCAGAGCATTTCTGGTACATCTTAAAAACCACAGTGCAGTTGTTCACGCCAAGCTATCAGTCAGAGAGCTCCCACCGCTCTACTGGCACTAAAGGAAGGAGCAGGTCCAAGGAACGAGCGCGGTTCTCTTTGGTAAGTCCGGTGTAAAACCCACATGGGGTCAGGTGGGCCCGTGCCTGGCCCCAGCCCCTCGGCTCCCAGCAGCACCTTCCCCGAAGAAGCCCCACTGACAGTGGCCATGCAAGCAGCTCTGTCACGCCTACCTGCTCCACACGGCAAGCACATAGACCTGGTGAAAACAGGCATCCTTACTTTTTCTGGCATTTGCTTTCAGCTGCATTTGTTCTTTTTTATTTATTTATTTCTCCCCCCAAAGGGGATGTCTGCAAGCTGCAGACACCAAAGAAACACAGTTTAGGGGTGTCACAGAGTCCCAAGCAGGTGCAATGCTCCTCTGCGAAGACCACCTGAGCAATTTATCCCTCAGAATTGTGCGATTTACCTTCCTTGCTCACTAAAAAGCCTCACAGCAGCAAGCAAGGCTGAGCCTGCTGCCAAGCGGGGAGCGAGACCCATCCCCACTCTTGTCATCCCTCCTCCATCGCATCACAGCACATCTCACACCCATTTCAGCCACATCCCTGCATGAGCTCCCTTTGAGCATCCGCTGCCACTAACAACCCTCTCCTCTCCCTCTGCTGCAGGATGACATGCACAGGGTCATTGACCAGCAGCTGATGGACAAACACCCGAAGGAATGGAGCCAGCTTGCTTATTCCTTCTCCAGTGGCTACGGCGCAAAGCGGAGTGCCAGACCCTCCCCCGTGTTCAGGCCGGAGCAGCAGGGGGACGAGCCCATTGGGGCAGAAGGGAACCGTCTCTTTTCCTTTTTCAAGAAAAATTAATTTGAAAAAGAGAAACCTCTCCAACAATTCCTGCTTCAAGATGGGGAGTGGGGCAGCTGCCCAGCTTGCTGATGGACCCAAGTCTGATCCACTTAGAAAAAAAGAAGGGGGCAAAGGAGTTAACCCTTGAGACTCTGCACTATTTACACCACACCTGGTCTGAACCAAATGTTTACATGAATTGGAGATTTGCAAATTGACAATGTGATACTAATAGAAAGAAACTTTTCATATTCTTTAAGTGAACTGATAAACTTCAGGGTATGTTTTAGGCGCTTTGACACAGTCCAGCTTCTGCTGTGAAGAATAATCTGATTGTCTTAAAAGCGTTCTCATGCTGGAGAAGGAAATAAGCAGCTCCAAGACAAAGCAGCGCAGGGGATTGAGAACTGCCGTCACAGTGAGCACAGGGGGAAGAAGAGGGTTGAATGCAAGAGAGAGGGGAGTCACTTATACCACCCTCCGGTCCCGGCAGCTGTGATATCCTTCATCCTTCCCTCTGAAACTGGAGTTGCTCTGGCCCCAGCATTGCCATCTTTGGAGACATGTAGCTTTCTCCGTGGTGGAAGTTGAGTCCTCACTACAGATCCTGCCTAGGCGCCATCTCTCCTGCAGCTCTGCGTAGCTGTTCACCCCTCACTGGGAATCCAGGCTCCTCGCAGATCGGGGCAGTTGTAAGATTGCTGATGTTACTGTCTTCTCTAGCTCCCTGCTGTTACAGAGATGAGAGTTACACAGAATGTTAAGGATTTCTCCCCAAGAGACTGACCATCTACAACAGATTACACACTGGATAAGAGTTGTGGATGTTCAGTCCTGGGGCACCTACTGTCCCTCCAATGGCCAAAGGTAGTTGTGAAGCTTCAGCAAGTCACACACATTTCCCCAAAGCCATGCACACCTCCCAAACAGAGTAAGAAACCTGTCATTTTAACTGGATGGGCTCCCAGAAAGCCTAATAATTCACTGAAAGCCTACCTGTAACGATGTCAGTAGGTCTTTAACGGTGTATTGGCAGAATTGATCCTGAGAAAGCACGCAGGCATCTACCTTCACTAAAGCCAAAGGCGATTAGCGTGTCTACAAAGCGCTGGAAATTCTGCAGCTTACTCTGCCCCACGCAGTAACATTGGCTATGGCCTAATGACAATTATAAGTATTTGTTCCTGCCTGCGGGTCATTTACTGCTCAGCCCTGTGGCGAACAGGTTACCAAATCTCCTTTTGACTGAAGATGATCAGAGCCTGCTTTGCTGTAACCATGACTTGATAAACGAGAAGAAACGTAGCTTATTTGGTGTATACACACAATGGTGCTGGAAATCCTGCAATACTTAGGTAGGGACCTTCCCTACGCACTGGATGGGCACCTTACAGCTCTTCTCTTTAACACAGTCTACCATCATAAACCAGCGAGGAACGCCTGCCTAAGTTCAGAGATGTCCTGCTGCTGTCATGCAATTTTCACACGTTCTCCCAGCTCACGATACCCACAGGCCCTAATTTTGTTTCCCCATCGCTTTAAAGAGGCCACCACCTACACTGTCCCACAGGAGATGGAGCTAGGTGCACACTCAGCTCTGCCCTGCTCAGCAACTTAGGTGCTAAAACACCATCCTACAGGGAGCTGCTGTCTCTGCTCACTATTTACAGTAACAAGCTTTCTGCTAGAATTAGGTATCACCTTCTTCTAAGCAGCAGGTAAGAGGTTAGTGGCTTGGTTTTTTTATTATTATTCAACTTACCTATGGGATAGAACATCCATAATACCTCGCTACAAATACCCTTTCTACCTACAAAGGTTTGAGCATTCCCATATTTCCTTGTTAGCATGAAACTACCACGCTGGTATGAAATCATCTTGCACTGAGGTAGCTCCATGTTGCAAGGAGCATAGTAACCTCTGGGATTGAAAACGATGGTAAAAAGCTGAGTGGTAAAACCCGTTTACTTGAAAGCAACAAAACCTGGATTGCAGATCCTGCTCCAGGAAATACTTTGGTAAAGCACCACCGATACAGCTTGATGCTTACAGGGAAAGGAGTCTGGAGTCTCACAGGCAGCGAAGGGCACTAAACCTTGGCCTCTCCTTTCTAGCCAATGCTCAACTATTGAGTATCTGCTTGTATCCACCTCTGCACCTGAGGGGAAGGGACTTAGCACAGCACCAAGTGCAGTCTCAGGATGGCAAATCCTCATTCTCCTGTCTTATCTGTGTTGTGACTCTCAACAGGCCAGAGACATGAGGCACGTGCTCAGCATCCCCTGCTGTCAGGACTCTGTTATGCCCATATGCATTAACCCAAACTTCGATACCTGCAAAATTAGCCGTGAGTTCATGGATGCCAGCGATACCTGTGAACAGTTGTCTTACATGCTGTTTGAAAAGGATGCCCTGCTTATCATGGGAGAGCCATGTGAACATCTTGGTCCTGACGGACCTTTTTTCTACCGTCAGTTGTCATTTCCCATGCCCCAACAGCTCTCTTCAAGCCACACACCCAGCAGCTGTATGGGACTCTACCCCTCTGAGGCTGTATGTATGTATGTATGCAATCCTAAGGCATGGGCCTTAAGTTACCCAAGGAAGACGCAGTAATGAGATGAAGAAAGGTGCCTTCTGCTACATGTTTGCTGAGAGGAAAGTGACTCATTCAGTTGCAGGGGTAGGCAATTGAAATGTGCAGCACATTGCTTCGTTTAAGGAGGAACCTACCTTAATCCCATTGCAATTTTATTTATTTAATAACAGTGATGGAAGAGATTGCAAGAGGAAGGTCAGCATGTTCTAAGGTGCCAGTTGGATATGGTTTCTTAAAACTAGTCCCTTAACCCTAAAGACTTAGTTGCACTACTAAACCCAGAAATACAAGAGAATTGGGTTTAATGAACTGGACAACAGACCAAAGGAGACCTCCTTGTGCTGAGCTGCTACTCAACAGGAACAGAAACTGCCTTAACATAGCAGCTAGGTTTTGTTGTTTTGTTTCCAAAAACCTCATGAACGCAGTCCTTCACATTCTCATTTGTCCTGTTGTGTTTTAACGAGGTCCTGACTATGTCACCTTGAGCTGTCATTAAAACACTCATCTCCATCCTGTCATGGCCAGAAGCCTGGAATCATCCTCACAGTGTTGGGTTAGAAGACACTCCAGTTGTGATACTTGATACTTCTAGGATACACATGGCGTAAAGGAAACATCGACTCCAGTGAATGAGATGGCAGAAGCACATTAATCCAGCAGGTACTCAGGATCCCAAAGTAGATTTAAAGAAGTGGGATCAGCAACTCTAAATACAACACTCAGCCTTGCTTTTGAGATAATGGTAAATAAACCAGTAGTGCTGCATGGTCACTGTTCAAATATTGCACAGAGAAGAGATGCCTGCTGAGATTAAGGTTACAAAGAACTTTCCCACAGTTAAGTAACAGGTGACTGTTCGGGCAAATGTTTGTTAGGCTAGCCTAAGGGAAAAGGGATCAATCTCCCTTCAGTAAACTCTGCAAGGGAAGCAACTGTAAACAAGAAACAAGTAAATGTAAATGAAAGGTGAGTCACTAGCACTTTATCTTAATACAAACTTAGATCAGAACTTGCCCTCGAGATGAACAATAGATCAATTAATGACAGCAGAATAATTTTGCACAGAGAACAAGAAGTGAGGTTACAGGCAGGACCAGGACTTGATAGCTGCATGCACTTGTCCTACTTAGAATGGTAAATTCCAGATATGCCTCTACATCAGGCAAGCTCTCTACTCCCCACTCAGCTATAAAAAGCAAGATTGTTTTAACCAAAAAGCCAAGAAAGGAAGCGTCTGGGTGCTGCAGCAACAATTCCCTTAGATTGAGAGGGGAAAAAGCACACAGCAGGGACAAGCAGAAAGAATGTATCTATAGATATGTACATATACCACAGTGCTGTAATTTTTGTATGTAGCAGTAATGTAAATAAATGTATGGTTTTTATAAGATACATATTATAAAATCTATAAAGGCATATTTTTAGTAAAAACAATGCTCTACTTCTTTTGTAAATAGTTCTCTTCAGAATAAAACATCATTTATATGATACTGTCTCAGCTCTCGAGTCACTGCTTATCTTGCCTAGCTACAGAACAAGCTTGCTTTTTGAACTGTCATCTTAACACCTAACAGCATCTTTAGTATTTCATGATCCCAAGAAATTCAGCCACATAAAGCACTTGCACATGCACAGAAGAGAGTGCTCCTGGAGAAAGAACATTTGAAACATTTACATCTCCTGCCACACAGGAAAATAGAAAGGCGAGCTTGTAAATCTTCACCTTTCAGCCATTTGTATCCTTCCCTGCCCTTTATATGGAGGGATATTCGAACATTAATGAGTTTAGACACAAACCACAGATGGACAATGAAACACCTCCAGCCTGCGCCTGCTGCAGTTCAGACCATCTACCTGCCCTCAGGATCCCCCTCTGCAGTCACACCAGAGCAGCGCAGAAGGAAGGAGAGCCACCTTCCCCAGCAAGCGTCCATCACGCTCCTCCAGATGGGAGGACTCGCTTGTGCATCAAGGGCAGGGAGATGAATGCTAAGGGCAACAAGCACAGCGACGGCTACATAGCCTATACAGAACCACATACATTCATTTCCTGGGAAAGCAAGGAGAGACTCCAGATGCTTTTTAATCAACTCGGGGTCTGACCCCTGCTGCCTTTGAGGAGCAGCTTTCAAAGCTCGCTCAACACAACAGAAAGACAAAAAAAAAAGATTCCAGCAAAATCAGGAGCATCTCACTTTCATGCAGAAATAAGGCTACCAGTTCCAGCCTACTCTTTCATTCACATTTAAAACTAGAATAGCAACTAAACATTTGAAAGCATTAATTGTGGTTTTGCCAATACCCCCTCTCAGGAAAAAAAAAAAACAACCTCCATCTACAGCAGAAGAGCTCACCCGTGGCTTGTCACCCTCCACCTCCAGATGCTGGACAGCAGAGGAAATAGAGCCTCGAAAAA